AAGTTAGGAAAGTTATGGGGAGGAGGGGAAAATCCCAATTTGGAATTGCCAGAAAGATGGAAGGAAAAGGACATCAGATCTGTTGTTCCACATGGTCCAGTCTGAACTAGTGTCTGGCTTCCTTCACTTGAGTCATTGGGCTATGACATACACTCATACTAGATACAGTAGAGTCATGCCTCAAAGCATTTTTGGAAGAAAGGAGAAGGTCAGAAGGCAAAGAGGGGCTGGTATAGGCAGTAGAACTGCAGGCAAAGTAGTCGTAAAAAGGGAAGATCTCAATTGGGGAGTGTTGTACAGATTTACCCTTGAGGAAATCATTTGGAAGAGGAGAGTGGCATGGTGGATTTCACCAGGCCTGGCATTCTAGGCAGATATAGCAGAGCAATTTTCTTGCAGTGATGTGGCTCTGCTTGGCTGTGGCAGGGCTTAGGCAACTCCTGATTTTGTCAAACTGGGAGTGCACTCACTGGCTTTTGCAGAGACCCTGCCCCTCTCGTCCTGCTTTGACTGATCACAAAAAAATCCTCTTGCTAGGTAGGGAACTAAAAGCTTTGGCTTAGAGCCTGTCTAAAACCAGGGATCATTGGGGGAGGGGGGTAGCATCTATCTAGAAGTTCAGGCAAATCCATATTGCCACAAACACACAGCTGCCTAGGGACTTTGTTGCTGTCCATGTGGGGCACACTATGCTAAGCTGGACATTTTAGTGAGAGCAGGGCAGGATCTTGACTATTAAAGCATGGATCACTGCAATTTGATCTTGGAGGGAAACTTTTTCGCCTCGTAGGGCTGGGCACAACTGAGCATCCAGGGTAGTACCCCTTGCCAACAGTTTATTGCAATATTTAAAGTAGGTATAATGCCGGCGTCTCTTTCAAAAGGGAAGCGACTAGTTTTAATGGTTCCCAACTAAGCACTGTATTTTGCAGTCGGATGCAGACTGAATGGTGAAATGACTAATAGAAGTCCACCTTCAGTGTTAGAAATTGCTCCCACCAACAATAACCCCAGCTCCTCCCATGAGGTGTTGCTCAGGGAACACCACCCCCATCATATGCACCCTAGACTTTTTGCTGGAATTCTCTCTATTGTTCAGAGGCCCCAACCAAGTTTGGGACCCCATTGTGCCAGGTGCTGGAGAGAGGCACAGTAAAAGTCCTGTCTAAAAAGACATGACTGGCAAAGGGTGGGATGGGGCATAGTAGGGTGAAGTGACTTGCTCAATGTCCCAGCAGGCAGCGTGGAATAGAACCCAGGTCGCTGACTCCCAGTGCCTGACCCACTTGCCCCCTCTCCCTCTTAGGGACCAAAAGTAACTTTTTTAGAGCCACCTGACTGATAAACAAGCAGTCGGGCTCAATCCAGGCCTTAGTGGATGGGCATTTTTCCCCTCAAGCCAAAAGAACACAATCGCAGTAGCCTCCTAGATGGCAGTTTCATCACTAAAGCCAAGGATTTGGGGCGTGGGGGGGAGGGAAGAGTAAGTGCACTTCCCTCACCCCTACAGAGCCCCAGACTCCTTGGCAGGAACAGCTCAGCCTCTGTGCAGAGCTGAGAGGGCATCGGACTCTGACCCCATGGCCTCACAAGACCTCACTCAGCCTAGGTTGCATAAAAGGGCTTGATGGATTATAAGGGTTCCATGCCGTGGCAGCTCTAAGCCAGTATTTCAGGCACCGGCACGGACTCTCCCTGGCGCTGTGCGCGTGTGTGTTGATGGCACTCTCTTGAAAATGCCACCTCAGCCCTTTGAACTGTCACAGTAAAGTCCTGATACTGCTAGGTTGGTGCCCCTGCTGGAATGGGCATAGGTCTCATGCCAAAGATACACATTACTCTGCATCATTTGCTCCACAGGAATTCTTCATCGGGAAGAAGGGTTCTGTTTAACAGCTAGGAGAGGCACACTTCATTTTACTTGTTTTCTCCCCTCCCCTCCCCTCCCCTCCCCTTTTGGTTTTTTTGCCTGAATGGGACAGGCCTTTGTTGGCCAAGAAGCAGCAACTGCTACTGACCCTGTAAACTTGCTTTGGTTTTATAACCTGTTCTCTTGCTTTGGCCTCAAGCAGACCTGAACCCAAAAAGCCATGAAGCTGGGTTGGGTGACAAACGTCCATTACTTGCTTATCATGCTTGTTGGATGAGTCTTTGCTCACTGAACTGAGCATAATGGGGGGGGGGGGGGGGGGGGGAGAGTTTTTTCTGACGCCTAGGCCTGGTTGCCACTTACATTTTAAGTTGGCGTAGCTCAGGGATGTGGAGAGAAATCTATACCCCAGAACCCTGTGGCTCTAACCAACTAACCCCAGGTGTAGACCTAGCTTTCCTTGGCCTAGCTACCATTGCTTAAGGAGGTGGAGTTACTCCAGTTCTGGAAAAAGCACTTATGTTGCAGGGTTATAGCTACAGTGCTGCTGTAGCCCCTGTAGTGTAGACAAGCCCTTAAGGTCAGAAGTAACTTCTGACGGGTATGGAGGGAAGTGATGCCAAAGCCTGGGCTACTAAGCAAAGAGAAGGGCCAGCAAGCAGGCTGAAATCCAAAGAGTGGACTTGAAGAATTATTTTTTCCCCCCTACTCACTAGAGCTGGTCCTTTCATGGTCAGGACTCTGAGCTAATGAGCTGTTATACTTTCATGGTGGACAGTTTCCATCTTCTGAGGTGTCAATCTGGCACCTTTCTGTAAAATTTTATTAAGGGGTGAGCAGGAACCAGTGGCAATGGTGGAAACCTATGAACGAGAGTGGCTTAAATTACCTTTTTTTGAAAACGGTGTCTTTGTGGAAAAACTGCTAGTTTTTGGAATACTTTCACACCCTTAATTGTTTTTTAATTGCTTTTTGATATTTTTCACTTATCAGTGTCCCCCCCCCTTATTTCTTTTTGTCCCCTTTTTTCCTTTAGCCATTTAAAAAAATAGTAATCCCAATACTTCAAAAGTGGCCAAGGGTTTGAGGGGAGAACCATAAACAACATCAGCAAAACAATTGGGTCCATTTTTGAATGCCACAGAAGGAGAACATTGACTTCTATGAAGTGGCTTCAGTCAACTCTGCTGGGTGTGGGGGCTCAGGTCGGGACTTGGAATACAAATCTATTTGTAAAGAAATGTCTTGGCGTTCCAGCATGCCAGCTATTGGCTGGGGGTTGATTGCCTGCATGGTAGGGAGAATCCCTATGTATAACATGGAATTCCTCCTCAAATTAAAACAAAAGTATAACTTTTTAAGGTTCTAGAACCTTTATTTTTAATTTCGGAAGTGATGGTCCAATTTTTTTCTTCTTCCTGCCCTGTCTTTGCTGCCCTCCCCCGATGTTGGGCCCTGTTAGGGGTCTACTCTGTTGGTTTCAGAACTTGCACAGAGTACGCTTCAGTGAAGGCGAACGCCCAGCCCTGCACTCGCTCTGTGTGTGTCTGTGCAGGGCTGAAACGTTCCAGCAAGTTTTTTTCATTCTGGCTTTAGCAATTCTTCCTTTTTGGCTGGGGGAAATGCATCTTCAGGTCCCTCAAAACCCGGTATAGTGATTCCCATTGACTGGCTGCACTGGCACCTGGCCGGAAGAGGGCAGAGCCAGGAGAGCTGGCTACTGGTAGAAAAGCCAACAAACGGCTCATGCTTCCAGCAGATGTTCCTGCAGCTTCTTTACTCCCTGGGGCCGGTGCCAGCCTGGTCAGCGTCCAGCAGCCAGTCACTCGACACCGGGAACAGTATGCTGGCTTCTTTTGTTGCACATTGTATGAGTCAAGGACCTTGTACTTGAAGAAGGGGATGGGACACCTATTTTCTCCCCCCCCGCCCCTTAAAGCTCCCAAATCTCTTAACTTAGACGAACAAACCTGAAAACTAAAGCCTCTTGACTGCATCGCCTGAAGGTGGGTGAGTTATGAGAGGGGGTGGAGGGTAGGGATAGGATACAGAGGGACCTAGACAAATTAGAGGATTGGGCCAAAAGAAATCTGAGGTTCAATAAGGACAAGTGCAGAATCCTACACTTAGGAAGGAAGAATCCCATGCACTGCTACAGACTAGGGACCGAATGGCTAGGCAGCAGTTCTGCAGAAAAGGACCTGTGGGTTACAGTGGACAAGAAGCTAGATATGAGTCGACAGTGTGTCCTTGTTGCCAAGATGGCTAACGGCATTTCGGGCTGTATAAGCAGGAGCATTGCCAGCAAATCAAGGGACGTGATCATTCCCCTTTATTCAGCATTGGTGAGGCCTTATCTGGAGTACTGTGTCCAGTTTTGGGCCCTACACTACAAGAAGGATGTGGAAAAATTGGAAAGAGTCCAGCAGAGGGCAACAAAAATGATTAGTGGGCTGGAGCATGTGATTTATGAGGAGAGGCTGAGGGAACTGGGATTGTTTAGTCTGCAGAAGAGAAGGATGAGGGGGGATTTGATAGCTGCTTTCAACTACCTGAAAGGGGGTTCCAAAGAGGGTGGATCTAGACTGTTCTTCTCCATAGTACCAGATGACAGAAAAAGGAGTAATGGTCTCAAGTTGCAGTGGGGGAGGTTTAGGTTGAATATTAGGACAAACCTTTTCACTAGGAGGGTGGTGAAGCACTGGAATGGTAGTCCAAAATTTAATCACTTGAAGCATTGGGTCTAAACTGATGGTCTGTCCTTGACTGTGTGGAACTAAGGAGGTGGTGGAATCTCCTTCCTTAGAGGTTTTTAAGGTCAGGCTTGACAAAGCCCTGGCTGGGACGATTTAGTTGGGGATTAGGTTCTGCTTTGAGCAGGGAGTTGGACTAGATGACCTCTTGAGGTCCCTTCCAACCCTGAGATTCTATGATTGCAGAGCCATAATGCAGGACATGTTCTGTGTATCTCTCTCCTTTTGCCCCTGACTCCGTGAGGTAGGGCGTCTCCAGCCAGTGGCTGGCACCGGCTAGAGATGCTAGAATGTAGTTTGAGCATGGTAGCGGTCTTCTGACTAGTCCTTCTTATTTTTTATTATTTCCACCCCCCCGTGCCCCGGTCTCTTCACAGGCTGACTGGGAATGAACCTCTGACCATCCTCCCTCTGACTTCAGAAATGGAGGAAGCTGCCGTCAAGGCCCATTATAAAGTGTGCGACCGCCTGAAGCTGGAGAAGAAGCAGCGCAGGATGTGCAGGCGGGATCCAGGGGTGGCAGAGACCCTCGTGGAGGCCATCAGCATGAGTGCCCTGGAGTGCCAGTACCAGTTCCGCTTCGAACGGTGGAACTGCACCCTCGAGGGGCGCTACAGAGCCAGTCTGCTGAAGAGAGGTAAGTGAGGGGGACCAGTGGGGGGGGATTTGCTCAGCCTTCTAGAGCAATAGTTCTCAACCAGGGGTATATGTACCCCTAGAAGACCTTCCCAATCAACTCCTCTAGATATGTAGCCTGTTGTAAAATTAAGTCAATAAAAAGCACTAGCAAAGTCAGTACAAACAAATTTCATATGGACAATGACTTGTTTATACTGCTCTATATGCCATACCCTGAAATGTAAGTACAATATTTACATTCCAACTGATTATTTTATAATTGTATGGTAAAAATGAGTCCGCAGTTTTTCAGTAGTAGTGTGCTGGGACACCTCTGTAGTTTTTATGCCTGATTTTGTGAGCAATTCGTTTTTGAAGTAAGGTGACACTTGCGGGGTACACAAGAAAAACCAGATTCCTACAAGAGGTACAGAAGTCTAGAAAGGTTGAGAGCCCCTGTTCTCTAGAACATGGTGGGTCACCAAAGGGGATGTGGTAACCATGGATCCAGTTGTATGCTCACTTACACTCCAGCTACCAATTGACTTCAGTGGAGTTTCACAGATGGACTGATTGGGCTAAATTATCTGCCCTCTGTTCTGTCTCTAAACCCATAAGTTTTAACAGAGGGTAGAATTTGCCCCAATCTGCCCCCCAGACTTCTCTTTTAAGGTAAGAAACACTCTTAATAAACCACGAAACCTGGAGTGGTGCCTAAAGAGTACTCAACTTTCAGACCAAAATGCTTTGAATCTTCTCCTTAAAATGAAGGCGTAACAGCAGGATGTGCCGAACGGCTTTATTTTGTGAAAGGGAAACAAAGCACTAATGAAGGGGCATAGAGGATATGCAGAGTCAGCTTTTGCCAGGTCCTAGTGCAAAGTAAAAGTTGCAAAAGCTTCATTTCAATGAGCCCTAATTGCCCCGGCCTGGAATGGTTCTAGGTCGAGGACAACATGGATGGTTACTTTACGCTGTCTCTGTGAGCTGCTCTGTAGAGCAGAAGAGGGGAGTGAATATTAGTGGTGAGTCTTGTAACTCATCTAACCTTGTGTGAAGGGCGGGAACCAAGTCTGACTGTAATACCCCATACAAGGGAAGCTAGTTGGAAGAGGCAAAAGCCCCCTTCCTGTTTCCCTAATAGAAAATAAGATGGTGTTTTGGCAAAGTGCTTAGAGATCCCTGGGTGAAAAGTGGGGCTCTGGAAAGGCAAAAACTGCCTTTAGACTCTCAGCATCCCCTTTGAGGTGGCTGAGTAATGCTATACCCATCTTCCAGATTGAGACCCAAGAGACATTAAGGGAAAGTCATCCCATCAATGAGAGAGCTAGGAATGGAACCCAGGCATCCTGACTCCAACACTTGCTCAGTGGCATGCTGTGACATTTTGAGTCCGGCATGCAACTGTACATTTGCTTGCAAAATGACATCCTCCATGTGGCATGGCCTTGCACGTACAGTGCATGTGAGGTCACTCTGTGCAGAGGATGTCGTCATGTTCAGGGACTAGATGGAATCGTTCTGCAGGTCCGGCCAATTGTGGGTCATACAACACATGCCATGCATACACAAACGGCACAGCATTGCCTCTGCTCTAACCATGAGACACTCCTTCCTCTCTGCACCATCTTCAGGTAGTCCAAAATTTAATCACTTGAAGCGTTGGGTCTAAACTGATGGTCTGTCCTTGACTGTGTGGAACGAGGAAAGTCCTATGAAACCCTAGATGCTGAACCTGAGCTATAAGATGTTTAAAAATATCTCCGCTTGCCAGAACTACCCCTGGTTAATGGAGCTTACAGAGTACAAGCTCTTTCTTATACTGACACCTGGAGGCCACAGCCTGTTCCTTCCAGCTGAGAGCTGACTTGATGGACAGCCATTACCACATTAAAGGTGCTTCAATTTTAGCTGCCTAAAAATATGGCTTCACATAACAAATGACAACCCTGCAGGTTCCAGTAGCCTGCCTGCTGCCTCGTTGTTTCATGTTTTATTTCTTTGGAGTTCTCTGCCCTCCACAGAGGCTATAAATCCTGCAGATGTTGTGCCTGTAGCATAACATGCTGCCCTTTGAATCTTTCACTTCTCCACATGGGGAGTTCTTGGTTCCTGTCTCCTCGTTGCAAGAGCCATTACCCTGGGGCAAAGGGGAAGGTGTGTTATCTAGTCATCTGCAATTACTCAAATGTGCCAGCATGGGGATTTTTTGTGTGTGTGCGTGCTTCCTTGGAACTACTTCACCTTTGAAGGAGGAGAGAAACTTGCCTGTCTTCTCTGTATCTTGCATTCGGTCGCCAAAAGTGCCTGATCACTGAGTTGTAACTTCCAGATAAATGCTCCTTTTTTAACAATACACAGTTAAAGGGATTTCTTTTTTATTTGTTATCCTCTTTGGATGCCCTTTTTGGAGACTTGCAAGTGATCTGGAAACGGCTGAAACTGGATCGCCGTGGATGGCAGGCTCTCCAGACACTTGAGGTTAGAATGCCGGCATTGATTTAGAGTCTATTATCTTGTTACAAAATATCTTGGTGCAATCAAATAGTGCACTGCAGAGATGGCTCTAATTCTGGCCAGAGCCAAATGTCACATGAACTTGACTGAACTGGCTGAGCTGCCGGAGAGTGAGATGATACGCAGGCCGGTGGGCATTGGGAATCTGAGTCTCGAAGGATGGAGGAGGGAGAAGTGCAGAATAAGCTATTCTACCTAATGGGCTGGTTGTGAAATCCACCTAAGAGGAGCAAGCTTACACTGAAGTTTTGCCACTAAGCACTGTCGTGGCAGCATGCCAGACAAACTATCCCTTCTCACCAAATTCATTTTCAGGCAGCGTTTTGATACGCCCCATGCAGTGCACAGAGCCTGGGCTATTTTATCTGGGGCCTGTTGCGCTCACCGTGTATCCAGAGTATCATTGTGTTGACAAGGCCAAGAACTCAGATGCAAAAATGCCTGTTGCCTTTCTAGAACGTCTATTGCTGGCTGTTTCACATTGATGGTTGATGGCGTTTCCTTCAGAATCCCTAGCCACAGAAGGTATTTTTATCTCCTGTTCCAATAAGGGCTTCATGCTTTATACAGTAAGCAGGGTCTGAATGAATGCTTCCCTGACCGCTAGCTGGGAGGGGAAGAGACTATGGGTGTGTTTATGTAAATACAGTTTGCTCCTGCTCTGTTTACATATTCATCATTTACAGCTGTGTCAAAGGATCAACTTTGGCTGGTGGTGGGTACAAATGACCTTAGTACTGAATGCAGGGGTGCTGAAATATGGTTACCAATGTTGTAATTATTGTAGGAATACAGGAAAGCGGGACTGTGCTTAAACTGTCCCAAATGGGGGGGCACCCTCAGTTGAAAGAACCTCGTTAAGCAGGGGCTCGAATGTCAGAGCCCTGGGAAAGTAATAGGGGTGAAGACAGGAATTCTGGCGTTCTGGTCAGGAAGCTGCACAACCCCCCCCCAGGGGGTGGTTCTTTTACTCATGGTTTGTATTTATGAACCCTGTTTGTGGTGGTTTCCCAAATTAATGCCAAGTTACATCCCTCCTTTTATTAAGTTTCTTTTCTACACTCGGTCTGTGCTTGCGAGTGGGGAAGTATTGCCTCTCTGAGGCGCTCAGGGGTGGTGTGTAATTTTCCCAGGTTACTGGGTGGGGGCTCAAGCCATTTCTATATTGTATCCATGGAAAGGAGCCCCTAGATATTGAATCCAGCCCTGGTTGCCGCTGGCGTCACCTGACAGAAGGGTTACAATACTGGTGCAAATTCTCGCTTCTCTACTTTATGGTGTAACGTTGACAGACCTCTGGACTGAACCTGGGACCTCTGCAGCTAAATGCATGAGTCTCTACCGCCTGAGCTAAAAGCCACGTGGTCCTTAGCTAAGGCTGTTGAAGACACATTAATCTCTTAAGTGGTCTCAATGCCACTACGTGGGACAGAGCCCCACACCCAAGCGATGTGTGGGTTACAATAGCACTCTCAGCAGGGAGGCCACAATGTCCTACTCCAAAAGCACTCGCCTCTATCTAAAGAGAACCACTTCTAGCTATATAGAGCCTATGACACACACCTGAGCAGTCTGGAATCCCTCTGGTGGAGCACACTGCGTCACCCTACCAACCTAGTGAAATCTCTGCCAAATCCAGATTATCCTCTGACCCGTTCACATCCAAAAGTAAGCAGGACAAAGTTGCCACAAACCCGTATTGGAGTGTTGAATGCTCCCACTGATTTATTTTTGTACACTTGTCAGTGGCCATTGTGCATTACAGAATCTTTCCTGTGTGAAAGGGGGTCACCTTATGGCAACTGAGCACCCCTACCATGATTTGAACAAGTCTGACTTGAATACAGGTTAGCCTGCTTGAGATGCCCCAAATCATGGGGTTGTGTGATAATTCTGTGGCATGGGCAACAGTCACCTTCAGCCACCGCCCTTTGAACGTCGGGTATTGTAACACCTCTAGAGCCTAGCCTGCCTGGTACCAAGAGGAGAAACAACCATTGAATGCTGCTGTCTGTGGAATTGGGGATTTCAGTAGGTGCCATGCCTCTCTGCATTCATATGCAGGGGGGGAGGGGGAGTGGGAGGGAATGGCCCTGTGTAGAGATGTTGTTTAGCTCTGTATGGCCTGCAATAAATGAGGGGTGATGGGGTTCACCCACTGCAAGAGCACCACCTCCTGGCTAGGCAAGGCACAGCAGCTTTCTTGCCATGTGGTGCCTCCTGCTGATGATGGCCACTCTACTGCAGTGGTGGTCTCGTCCCATAATTCAGTGCTCTCTTCACAGCTCAGCCCTCTGGCTAGGTCCTACATGGTCCCCACTTCCAGGATATCAGTCTCACAGGACCAACTGTATGGAGGGCACCTCCAACAGTCCTGTGCCACTTCCCAGTGGCTGGTAGGGGAATCCCAGGCCCACCCTCTACACTGGGTTCCAGTCCAGGGACCCTATAACCAGCAGCCAACCCCTACAGTCTCCTTCCTTACTGCTGTTTCCCTGGGCTTCTTCCTACTCTGCCTTCTCAGGCGTTCTTTCCCCACAATTCCTCTGGGGTTGACCCTTCTTCCAGGGCTCATTCTTCCCCCTGAGTTTCCTCCTTCCCACTTCGTCTCTCTGACGGCAGACTGGTCTCCCTGCAGCCTTCTCCTGCTACTGCAGCTTCTCCCCCAGCTGGGCTTCATCAGCAATTAGTATTTATAAATCCCCAGGCCTCCTTTCAGAGCCTTCTGGGCCACCCTAACCCCTTCAGGGCTGGTGTGGGCTCAACACCCCATCCCATTGGGCTATGACAATATAATGCCGAGCTCCTATACAGTGCCTTCCATCGGCAGATCTCAAAGTGCTTCACAATCTCTTGTTTACCTTCCCAACACGCCAGTGATGTAGGGCAGTGCTGTTATCCCCATTGTACAGATGGGGAACTGAGGCAGAGAGACCAAGTGGCATGCCTAAGGTCACACAGGAAGTCTGTAGTAAAGCAGGAAATGAAACCTGCATCTCCCAAGTTCAAGGCTAGTACCACCAGACCATCCAGGAGGCCCTTGCTGTCAACCCGACTCTTACATAGTGCTGTGTCCCTAGAAATCCATGGATCTGGGAATGCCCTGGCAATGCTAAAACTGGTGCTGGCCCAGCACCATGTAATCTCACTCCCAAAACTACTGCTTTGAAGGCTCACACTGCTAGAAGTGATCTGGTAGTGGCCGTGCATGTCTCTGGGTGACAGACTAGCAGACGGACATCAGCCACTGTCACCCTTCGCTTGAGTTATTCACAAGATCGGGATTCTTGAGTCAGATCCAGAACAGAATTCTGGGATCTGATCTCAAACATGCAGTAGCTTTGTCTTGATAGAAGGGACCTAGGAGCCATTTCTGTCTTCATCAGCTCCTTGAGTAATCTCGAGCCAGATCACTTAACCTGTCTGTCCCTCAGTTTGTGTAAGTGTCGAGAAACTTCTTTTCAAATGGGGCAGTGTCTGTGATAATGGGCCAGCTACTGTGTAGGTCGCTCTCCTCCCTGCTCAACTGTGTCTTGGATATTCACCGTGAATAATAACGTATACCTAGTTCATTGTTTCCTTGAGCTCATGTGCTTCTGGAGCAGAAAGTTTTGTTCCTGTTCCCCACTGTAACCATTTAACGGTAAGTGGTTCTGCTGTGCAACGCAGTCATGATCATGAAGCTCTCGCTGACCTCCAATTTGTTGTATGTGGATTACTTAATGATGATGGCTTTGACTTGTTCCTCTGCCGGTCTTGGAGGCTGGGGATCTTCGCAGATGCTCCCCCACACACTCTATTTCCGTCCTCCTTCCTCTGACTCCGTCATAGGCCTGGTCTACACTTAAAACTTCTAACCATCATACCTATGCTGGTATGAGTGTGGTGCTTAACTGACCTAGCTATGCCAGTGTAAGCCCTACTGTAGATAGTTTATACCAGTATAAAAGTGTCTTTGCCAGCACAGCTTGTTTCTTAGGGAACTGGAGTGAGTTATGCCAGCAGAAGCCCTTTTTTTTTATGCCCGTATAAACTGCGTCTACACTAGGAGGGTTTGCTGGAATGGCTACACCAGCAAAAGTTTCCTCGTGTAGACAAGGCCTTAGCCACACACAGGATGAGAGCTGCAGGTTGAGTTCTGATCTGTCCTTTCTCTCCTCACTTCTCTGCCATGGAAAGATTGTTCTCTATTCTGTTCTCCAATATTTCTCCCCGTGTTGTATAAATGGCAGGTGTGGAGTAATGCTTTTGGCATGACTTATTCCCTTCAGTCCAGTCCCTTGGAGAGAACTGTGTCCAGCAAGGCAGTCCTGCTACAAAGTAACACCGTCCTCTTTTTTTCTCTTCCTTTCCTAGGTTTTAAGGAAACAGCCTTCCTTTATGCCATTTCCTCGGCCGGGCTCACCCACGCCATGGCCAAGGCCTGCAGCGCTGGGCGCATGGAGCGCTGCACCTGCGACGAGGCTCCCGATCTGGAAAACAGAGAGGCCTGGCAGTGGGGCGGTTGCGGTGACAACCTCAAGTACAGCAACAAGTTTGTCAAGGAGTTCCTAGGGAAGAAATCCAACAAGGACCTGCGAGCCAGGGTGGACTTTCACAACAACCTCGTGGGCATGAAGGTGAGAGATTGCTCCTTCCAGCTGCCCGATCTGGGTCATGTGGAAATCGGCTCTTGGGGGGGGTGAAGAGGTGATCTGGGTTAATTCACTTTGCCTTTCACCTCCCTAGAGTTGGGTCTGAATTGGAATCGGAGGAAGTCTCCCCTCCCCATCTTCTGGACTGGATCACATCTGGCAATCTCTTGATGTTAATACCATGGCCACTGCCAGGGTGCATGAGTGCCTCCCCTCAGCAGGAGCAGAATTGCATGGTGTTGCTGTCAGGACTAAGATGCCCCTGCAGAGCTTGTGCGAGAAGCTTCCCACCTTCTGCAGCAAGGGAAATTTAGCTTAGCTATTAGGATAAACTTTCTATAAACTCTGGAATAGGCTTCCAAGGGAGGGTGTGGAATCCCCATCAATGGAGGGTTTTTAAGAACAGTTTGGACACACCTGTCAGGGATGGTCTAGGTTTACTTGGTCCTGCCTCACAGAAGGGGCTGGACTAGATGGCCTCTTGAGGCCCCTTCCAGCCCTCCATTTCTATAATTAAGCATGTAGCTTAACGTGGCCAGGCTAGTTTACAGTTATCACTGAATGATGGTGGGGCAAAGATGTAGACAAGAGGCTGTTGTGTTTGACCTGGCTTTGTTCACTCTGGCTGGAGAAGCAATGCTACCCCTGTTTTGGCCACAATAAGAGCTAAACTGTGCTAGAACTTGGTGGCTAAACCCATTAGTATGGTGTGGCTGTAGCTGTTCTTTCAGGTAGAATAAGGAGCGTTCTCTGTAACCTGTTTCTTTCCGTGTGTCCATCTTGTCACTTGTACGTGGAGTCAGGCATTAATTCCCAGGGATAACAAGGAGTGCTAGGTGTGCATGTCGAGGGAAGCGTGGGAACCCTCTGCTTTGGCAGCCTCTCTATTGGCATCCCCCTCTGTGAAGGTAACAGGATAAAGGGTTAATCAATCCAGTTCAAGGTCACGTTTCTTGGCAACCTCCGTTTCATCTCTTCCTAAAGAAACTGGACATGGCTTTTTGTGCTCCAGCTTCTCCAACCATTGACTAGCACTGAAAGCTAAATCAATAGCTGAGGGCTGCTCGAAAACCAGTTGGCGCCTTTACTTTTAACTAAACCAATTTAACTAAATGGGGGAATCCCCCTGTGTGTTTCAAAATAGGGAACTCTTCATCTGAATTAGCATAAACCAACCTGAGACACTGCAATAGAGCCCCCTTTTAATATCTAAGGTACGTGTAGGACCTCTGTTACTGAAGTATCTGAGCATCTCCCAGGCTTGAATGTAGTTATCCCCTCAACACTCGTTTGAGGCACTTATCCCCATTTTACAGATTGGAAAGCCAGTGACTTGCCCATGGTCACATAGGAAGTCTATGGTGGAGACTGAAGTTGAATTCCCTGCTCAAAGTCCCAGGCTAGGGCCCTAAACATTGGGCCACAACTGCCCACACTAGGGGGGTTGCCCTGGCTTAAAGGCATCAGTTTAGTTAAACCAGTGTAGACCAGATGCATCAGTGCAGTGCACCATAGAGCCTGCTTTGGGTTGGCTTGGTGTGGGCAAGAAGACTTCTTCCTCCAATAGCTTGCCTTAGGAGATAGCCCTACCCAACACTCTCCACCCCCCCATGGACCAATACTGGAACAATCTGTTAAAGGTGCAGCACAATTTTTGGTGGTCTCTTTCCCCACTTCTCAGCAGCATGGATTGCCCCCTCCCACCCCGCACGTTACTCCCCAATCCTGGCAGAACGTATAACGGGTGCCCTGAGATACAGCAGAAGAGAACTTGGCTGGCAACAAACTCTAGTCTCCTTCCAGTCAACAGAGCAACTTCTCCATGGACAGAAGCTATCAAACGCACCATGTAGTTCTAGGTGGTGGTATTATTCTGTCACTCCATTTTTAAAAACAAAAATCCTAGTTTCTCTTGATAGAAGTTCTGACTTCACTTCTTGACACCCTCGCTGGGTCGACTGTAACTTCCCGCAAATGCTGAACTCATCACTGAGCTGGTTATGCCCGTTCGGCCTTGCGAAGTGCTTCCCATATGACCTCAATTGCTAATGAAAGGGCAAGCTTGTCTGGCGTGAGGATGAGGTAATTAGACTTCAGACCTCTCCAGCATCCTCTTTTTATTGTGAAGCATGAGCTCTGAATAGCCCACTTATTAAAAAAGCAATTTTCCCTTCCTCTGCCAAATCTACTCGAGCTCACTCAGCTATTCTCCCCACCCACCGCCCCCCGCTGAAAGAAGTCCACTCAGTAAAGCTCCATGGCTGGCAGCGAAGTGGAAGCCGCTCAGTTCTATTACAAAGCGAGACTGGACGCTCTTCCACCACCCTCTTCACCCCCTGTTTTGTAACCCATTAATGAAAAGTCAGAATGTTAGAGCACTCAATTAGTTCCACCGGGCTTGAGTAAGTGATGTTTTAATTAAATTTTCGTCCATGTTTCTCAGCAAAGTATCATTAAACATGACTTTGCAACTCTCTCTCTGGAGCGTTGCTAAATTCCTGTAATCCCACAAAGGCCTGACCTTTTTCCTGAGGCATGTTTGGTCAAACATGCCTTCCCAGTCTGAGGGGCGCTACTAGAGGGGATGCAGCTAGCCAGGGAGGGCCATTGTTCCCAGCCCTCTCTCCCTGCCTCCCAATGAGCTGAAGGGCGCAGGACTGTGGGTGATGGTCAGCTGCCTCTGCAGGGTGGTGCATTCAAAGGCCTGTTCCGCGAGGGGGTAGAGCAAAGGAGGCAGAAAAAAACAGCAAAGCAGCGAATTCTCCCTGACAAGTCTCTTTAGACAATAAATCCATCAGAACTTGTTCCCCTTCATGCAGTAATTTTAAGTTTCCTCAATTTATTTTGGAGTAACCTGAAAGGCCAGTTGAGGGATTTGGGCCTGCTGAGATTACATACGACGACTAAAGGCCTGTTTCCCAAGCCAGCCTCTGTAAGACTATAAAATGGATCCACCTTATTTCAGGTCTCTGCATCAGTGTTCTCGCTCTCTCTCTCGCTCTTCCCCCCTCCCCCCCCCCCCCCCCCCCCCCCCCGTTCATGTTTGTAAGGGCAAGAATGGGTGGGAGAATCCTACTAGAGCAGTGGTTCCCAAACTGTGTGGGGCATGCCCCATAGGGGGCATGGAGGAATGTTTTTTTGGGGGGGGTGAGATCAGGGCAGGAGCACCACCCAGCCACAGTTCTGCTCCCGGCCTGGCCTTAGTCCCTGGCCCCGGCTCAGTTCTTGGGCCCCGTTACCCGTGTCCATGCAACCCTCCCCCGAAGAGCTGTGGCCCTGCTTCTGGGGGGGGGGGTACACAATCACGGTAAAGGGGGGTGCATGACCATGAAAAGTTTGGGGACTGCTGTACTAGAGGAAGTGGCTTTAGCAGCAGGTCACCATTTTCCCCTCGAGGCCCACAGGGTTCATTGGACCCCAGTTGGTAACAACTAAGGATAGCCATGGTTTGGCTTTCAGCACGAAGGGTGTGGTTGGGGCCCCATTGTAACTGCCAAAAAAAGGAATTGGGTCAGTATCAGTAGGGAGCTCTAGGACTGAATGGTCGGGCTGGTCAGCTCTCCTGCCCCTGGAGGTCACCTCTCCATATCAGGCCTGAGGTGGAATTCTAGCCTGTCCCTCTCTGGGGTACTTCCCTGGCCCCAATCACTGGAGTATCTATCTGTCCAGACTGCGCTTTGAGGGGGAGAAGTGCTAATATCCCCATCTGTAAGATAACTGAGGCAGAGAGACGAAGTGACCTATCCAAGGTCACCTAGGACATCTGATAAAGCAGGGACTTGAACCAGGACTCCTACAGCCCAGATCGCTGCACGATCCTTCCTTTTTTCTACCTGTCTCTACTCCCTGCAGACAAGGAGATTTCATCTCCAGAGCTGTCAGGCAGCTTCTAAGGCTAAACACACACAAGGCTCTGTAACAATCACTCCTTTCAACGAGTCAAAGCATGAGACACAAGCATGTTGCATATGCAGTTCTTTAGGGGTACATATGGCTGCAAATTGTACCTGCATTTTTCCATCCACAACAAATCGCTCATGCAAAATACTGGCAGCTGGAGGGTTAATTACCTGACCTATACCTACAAATCAAACTGCTAGCAAGGCAACTGCAGGCAGAAAGATACAAGCGCACATTTTATTTTTCCAGGTTCAGATTTGCCTGGCAAAAAAACATTCTGAAAAGGAAGGCCTGAAAATGAACTTGCCACTAGAATTCTTTCCAAGTTACCCCATCAGGAAAAGTACTTAGGTCTTGCATAGTGCTTTTCCTCTTCAGAAGGGCTTACAAAAGTTAACCAAACCAGGAAGAATCTTGAAGCTAAACTTTCCCTGCAAAACACAGCTTTGAAGCTGGGTTACATTCTTCTAAGTCTCCTTAAATTGAATGGGTTTGGATTTAAAAAAAAAAAAAAAAAAGGGGGTGTGTGAACGGATGCAGTTATTGTTTCTAGAATGAGCATCTAAAGGGAAGTTCTGTACTGTTAGCATATACCTCTTGGGTTTTTCTTTCCCTGCTCTGAACACATGTCTGAATCTGCACCTGGAAAAAAGGTGTGAGGAGCAGGTTACTGATCTGAGTTAAGGGAGCTGCAGGGTGGGCTCGAAGAATAAAACCATCTACCAATTCCCATGACTGTGTCCCCAGCTCCTGAGTTTAGACCATTCCAGGAACTGGCTTAAAACCATTGAAGGGTTGATTGCCCAGTGGGGGGTGAATGGGGATCTGTGCTCAGTGTTTCGGCAAAAACGGAGGGATTGTTTGTTTGCAGAGTGTCCAAAACTGATGGATTTATTTTTTTTAGCCTGGACTTTAGCTGGCTACCAAGCACAGGCTACAGTTGCTGCTGTTGTGGGGAAGGCTTATGCTGCTGCACTACACAGTGGTGCTCTGCTGTGATCCCTTTCCCCGAGTGTGTTGGAAGTGGGGTCCTCCAGTGTTGGCTAATCCGTTTGGCTCTGCTCCAAATTCTGGAAGTGGTGGAC